TTTACGATGATTGTCGGGACCGGTGAGGACTGATGTTGTTGGTCACGTGAACCCTCGTGTCGGTGGGCTCATTTCCCGAACAGCGGCTGGTATAAACGTGGCCCAAGGGTAGGTACCTGATGTATGGGGACATATATTGTACCTACGCTAATCCTAAGAAATAAATAACTTATTCTAGAAAATTAACAATGCACTTTATTAAAGGGATGTTAAAAACTTCGCGTTAATTTAATGTATCTTAATTAACGTCGATGTAAATTCAATGCACACTATTTTACAACATTGTTATTTTAATAGCACCTTTGTTTCAGAGCAAAACCTCATTAGTTAATGACTCCCCCATTGACTCCACAGGTTCACTATCTGACAGGACTTCTTCTTTTAAAATCGAGCATACGCTCTTCTCACGTATGGTAATATGCCCGTCTGACCTCGTTTTGGAGTAAAGCGTCCTTTGAAATGCTAATCAGACGACGTTTTCGTATTTGAATTTCAAAAGAATTTTTACCCGTAAACGAGGTTAGACGGATATATTACCATAAGTGAGAAGAGCGTATGCCAGAATCGAAGGGAATGTTTCCTCGCTAGATCCATTTACAAAGCAATAACCTGAACATTAACATAACTAACAATGACTGTAAAAGATTCTTTTTCTCCTTGAGATATAAGTATGTTGAGATTTTGTTTGGTTAGCAAATTTGGGTTGAATAAAGTAACATGCTCATCGAAAAATGCGTGTTAATTTCATGCATGTAAACCTAACTTTTGACAAATTCGCGTTGATTTAGTCTAATTTAGTCTAAAGTAATTTTTTTTCGCGTTGTTAATGTGGATTGTTCATTTCCTAGAATAAGGTAGTCTGTAACAATTCTGTCAAATAAAGAGGTTTTTTTGGATGACAACGCAGAATTTTGTCGGCCACAGATTTGGGGACACATAATCTCACGCATGAACTACTGAGGACTGAGGGAGTCAAAGAACAAAAAGAGTAATCACAAAAAATCTGAGTTCTATATTTCTAGCTAGAGAAACAGCACCAAAATAGTATTGTATTAAAGTCAAAACTCTTTAATCGCCACTTCGAGTACACTAGCATAATCGGATTCTCAATACAGTTATTTCAAGAAAGGTTGTCGGAAAAAATGTGCCCGCGACAATCCCGAAACGTAACATGGGATATGATCAATACAATGTTCCTGACACTGTAGCCATCGAACCTACTTTTGTTGCTTTCCTTTAGCACTCACAAAAATAAGTCCATGGCCTTTCGTGCCATTCTTTCAAATTTCTTTGAAGAACAGTGAACTAAAAACCACCCACAATAGCTTACGGGATTGTCGCGTGCACTTTTTCCGACAACCTTTCTCGACATAGCTGTATATGAACATGCGAACTTAAATGATACATTAGGAGAAAACGAATAAAATGGTTCATACATTTGCTTAAAGTGTACATTTTAATACATATTTTAAACCACTTTCAAAAAGTTCGGTTCTTTCCAATTTAGAAAGATACATAGTGCTATCAGATACGTTGAATAGAAATTGTTTTTTTAAGAATGCTTTGCATTAGTAGACACCAGAAACGATTTGATAATTATGTTTATCGAAAGTTTCTGGTCAGAGACGGCGGTATTATGCTAAGGTATACATGCTCCCCAGTAAACCAATCCTCTAGTAAAACCGCTATTTCAACCATCATGATTGTAATTTACAGTGATGTTGTAATGTTATTGCGGGCGATAAGGGGACCCCTCATTCGGAATCTCTAGGTGACTATTACGCATGCGTCGCATGTATGTAGCCAGCATCAGTAACAGCATCAGTTAACAGCATCAGCCAGCATTCGTTTGGACTTCCACTAAGAATGAATGGAATGCACAGTAGGCAAGTTAATCACGCGCGTTTAGACTATAAAGGGGACAGAGAGGGCATCCCCCATATACACCCTATTCCATAGGTAATTCGTCTCGATTTATTTTTAGAATCGGGATAAAGTTACCTCGCGCGAGGCGTGGATGTTTCGTGGAGGTTTCGCATGACCAAACGCTGGCAAAACATGTCGGGCGAGAGGCAATGAAAGCATAAAACGATCGACAGCATTCCTGAATATTGAAGCGAAATGAGTCGGCACTCACCTGGGAAAAAGGAATCGCTGGACTCTTTGACAACCCGTGAAATCAGTTTAACTCGAAGTTGTCGTAACCTCAGTGCTTTAATAAAATGAGAAATTTCGCCGGTCTATTGAAACCGGTCGTTTGTACAATTTAGGGAGTTTAAGATCCAACGACGCGGACGACAACTAGAACGTCAAAAAAACAATAGGTTTAATTAGCAAAACAACAACTTCGCACGTGCAACACACTTTTTTGTTCATTTCTTTCCCGTTTTTGCACGACTACGACGTGAAAATGCCTAATTTCGCGTTTTATGGAGGACGTAAATAAGCAACGACGAAATTTTATTTCTCTTTCTGAGCTTGAATATGGTCCCTTGAAATTCAGCTTTAGGAGGGTTCGCCTACAATTGACAAAGTAAGTGGGTAGGAATAATCGCTATAAAGACTGAAAAAAATAAACATCAAACCAGAAATTGCTCTCTTCAAACTGTAAATTATAAATGATCCTGAGAGAATATTCAGTGTGTTAAGGATTTCCCTGCTCTACTGTTAGCTCTATACAAGAGAGGAAGGGCGATTCTTTTTTAATTTCGGTTTCGCTGACACAGCTTTCGCAGAAATCTCGCTGTAGTCGTTTTCGTCGACAAAAGGAATAGCAAAATCGCTCTCCGCGTCTTCCCCCATTTTGTTCTGCGTCATTTCGTGAAGGACGCGTGGCTCTCAGCGTGGGTCATCCACGCGGAACACATTCGCGCTATGTGATTGGCTGTTGTCTAATCCCCCTTGAGATCTGTGGTGTTAAAAATAACTCGAGACGAATTACCTATGGAATAGGGTGTATATGGGGGATGCCCTCTCTGTCCCCTTTATAGTCTCGTGCTCGTAATCTGATCACGCGTGTCTTGACCATCTGTCACGTGAAACTTACGCAAAGCACAGCCCCAGAGCAAAAACCCAAAAACAAATCACTTGATAGTCACCAATAATCAATCAGCTGCGGAAAAAGTAAAATGAAAACTTCTGATTCTTCCGACGGTTACGTTGTCACTGTAACACTCACTGCTCTGAAAGTCCCTCAAACAGTGATTCGCTGGGATTGATGAGTTTCCGAATTATGTGCATAGAGGTCCTAAAACTTACGATCAATGTGAGAGTAATTGCCGCTGTTCGGATGGCTGTGAGTTTGACGTTTTGTAAGGATCCTTCAAAATTGAGTGCAAAATAAAACAACGCAACAACATCGCTCTCGATGTAAGCGCAAATCAATGTACACACACTGATGTAGAAAACGTAGCGCGTGACGACTTTGTGCTTGTTTAGAACATAGTTATTAGAGGAGACTGGTTATGAAAAGCGGCAAACATCAATGATAAAAACAACAGTGCCGCAGTTTATGTTAGAAGCACCCTGAAAGTGCACAATCCTCTGTTTTCTGTTGGCAAATTGTTACGGAATAAATTAATGCAACGTTTTTATTGGTCAATACAATGAAAATGATAGGAATTCTTTTGAACGTTGTGCACTTTCAGGTCCCCAAAAACATATAACAAAGGAGTCTGACGGGTTTCATAACCATTCCACTCAATTAACTATGTTTAGAATGATTAAAAAAAGAAAATTACATACTGTATTTACGGAATTGCAAAGTGCAAAGGGAACGAGGAAATATCTCATACCCACCGAACCTGATGATGAGCAAAATGGCTCCACAACACCCAACACTAGCAAATAAATGTCCGACGCGAACCAGTCATTTCGGATTAATTTTGAAAAATTTGTGGGAATAGTCCATGTCCCTCTCCGTTGATTTCCACAGGCAAGGTGACTGTACATGAAAAAGCAAAATATCTGAAAAGGTGACCACCACACAGGAGCTTCTATGTAAGTTAAAAAGTTGGGCCAGGCGAAAATGGAAGAAGTCGAAGAAAGGTAAATGTTGCCTCCAAAGGCATCAAATCTAAAAAAGGATAGTCCTCCAGAAGACAAACGTGGAAGGCGAGGAGTTGTATGGGACTTGGATTGGTAAGTTAATGGCTGTAGTTTGTTAATCAGTGAAACTGGTTTCTCGTAGAATTTAATGAGAAGTAACAAAAAAGTAAAAGGTAAAAGTGATTTTAGGTGTTGCAGTGAGGTAGTTGTGGGAGTGCTCATGCGCATTGCATCCAATCTCTATATAATAAAAATGGTGGCTCCAGGCTGGCCCTTTTCATGAAATATCGATGTTAAAGTCACCTCGGCAGAGCTAGCCAGCCTGACAAACCAGCCCGACTCATTAGATCAGGCCCTTTCTGTGAGCTGTATTGTCACGCAGTTTGCACGGGAGGGAGCTTTGGAATTTGCTGCTTTCGCTAGATCAGGCCCTTTCTGTGAGCTGTATTGTCACGCAGTTTGCACGGGAGAGAGCTTTGGAATTTGCTGCTTTCGCGCCTTGCTCGTGTATAAGATAGTACGCGTTAATCTAATCAACCCTAAGGGTTTTAAAAATAACTGTCACGAACGCAGTTTGCTCGTGAAAATGTTGGACTCGATTGTATCTAAAAGTACACACGAGTGAGCACGAGTGGGCACTAGTGAGAGCTCGCCAAAACACGATTTTTCTATTATAATGACATAATTATTAAGTCACTTTATAAAATTAACCGGAAATAGAACATTTCTGGAGACTGAATAATGAAAAAAGATATTGGAATTTCTTTTCCTTTCCCCAAGGACGGGTCTTGAACAGGGTGGGACCGGCGGGAATAGTGTAAACCCTTTAATTCCCCCTCCTTTTCAGGCCTTTTTATGTCATATGCACAAAACGGTACGAAATGCTATCGAGTTTCTTCCGGTTGCGCCATCTTGAAAATCCCGCTTTTCACTTACAACTTCTCTCGTTACCATCCCAGAGTAAAACAATACTGACTCGACAATGTTAGAAACAAATTGGGTAAAAAAAAAAGCTAAAAGCAACTTTCCCACATGTAAATAAGCCAGGGACCACTTGCATACATTTTTACGTTCGACGTAAACGCTAAGCCTGGTCAATCACTTTGTTTTCATTCGTCTATAATCCAAGCCTCCTTTATACAAATGACCCCAGGTAAGACACAAGGAAGAAAAGATCCGCCACGAAGAGTGTCAATAATAATGTCAATATCAAAAAATCTTTCATGATATCGTTTTATGTGTTCATCAACAACATTATCTTTCATCAAGGACAGCAAACTAGCGAAAACCAAGCCAGAGAGCTGTATACGAAATGAACTGAGAAATTTGTTGTTCAGATGAAAAAAGGGAAAAGGAAGTTTCACCATGCAAATTATTTAAAATACAGGGACAATTTCAACATTACTCCCACTGGGGTGGGGCTGCTCCCAACCAACCACGATAAGAATAATGAACGGTCCTCAGGCATTCGCCCTCTCGGCCTTTAAATCCGAACAAAAATCCGCAAAAAAAATAAAAAAAATGAACGATCGTATGAATTCATGTAATCACATGACTCATGATCACTTACTGTAATATCAAATCTTACAGCCGTTTTCCGGGCCGATATCGATGTGTATTTTCACTTGAAAATTTTTCGCGAAATGTTCAGAGTAGTACTAATTTAGGTACATTAAAAGTCAAATAGCATCTGGCTCCACAGCTCGTCTCTCGCTTCGCGCAAAATACTGCGTTCGCCTAACTTGGCAAGGCGCCCGTTATGCAGGCTTGGTTTCCCGGCTGGGCTCTACACAAAACCCTCAACTTGCTTCGGTGCCAATGTTTTACAGGTCACAGCATGTAAATAAACTGGTCGCGCAAGCACATGCAAACAACAGTCACCAGATTTATGCTAGCTCTTCTCTTTTAAAACGCTCTCAAACACCAACGCAGCCGCTGGAGAAACACTCGACATAAGATATAGGACTGTGGGACAGATGTCACGGTCCTAGACTACGAGTAGTCCCCCATTTTTCCTCAGGGATAGTAGAGTGAGCGAAACGCGAGCGGGCGTAAAAATAACCCCACGCGAGAAAAGCCGACACGCGGCGGGGAGAGAGAATCGCCTTTTCTCGCGTGGGTGATTTTCACGCGCGCTCGCGTTTCGCTCGCTCTATTATCCCTGAGGAAAAATGGGGACCACTCGTAGTCTATCACGCTTTGAAACTCGTGATTTGTTTGTTATAGAAAATGATCTAAGAATCACATGATAGGCCGCTTCCGGCACATGTGCGATTTAAGTAATTTAATCAATCGACATAAGATATAGGACTGTGGGACAGATGTCACGCTCTTGAAACTCGTGATTTGTAATATAGAAAATGATCTTAGAATCACATGATAGGCCGCTTCCGGCACATGTGTGATTTAAGTAATTCAATCAATGATTATTTTTTGCCCTTAGATTCTCGGAAACATAACGCCCTGTCTCTCCCCAGCCCCCGCGCGTTTTTCGCATTTCTTTTCACTGAACAACTTTTCATTATCTCGGAGCCTGGAACAGGCTACATGAATGGCGATTGCAGGTATCACGCCATTCAAAATAGATCAAAATAAAAATCAAGACCGTTCAATAGATAAAGTCCAGAATCTGGGAAATAAAAGGAGGTACATATACAAAGACCCTCGCCACGATTCAGGTCAGAGGAATATTTCGTATGCGAGATATCCGAAGAAATGTTTTGCCCAAACTTAAAGAGATTTGTTTGGAGACGCCATGCTGGTGCTCACCTGGATAAGTTCCAACATGGCGGACGGAAACCAACAGAAACATCTGTTACCGAGTGTTGCAACAAAAGCGTGAATTTATTCTTCGAGAAACTCATAAACATTAAAGTAATACTTTTTCTAATACGTGAACTGTTTAGATAGCAAAATTTACTGAAATAAGTCATTTTTTTAACCTACATGACAGCTCTCTTGGCCGTCATGTAAATGCCGCGTCACGCAAAAGCTCAGAAATTCAAGCGTACTCTATCACAAAACCAAGAACCCTTTTGAAGCGAAAATTTGTATGAAAATTAGTTTTCAGCTGCTCTAATACGTCGTGAAAGTAAAACCTCGGTAGGATCGATAGTTTTTTAGTTTGAATTTTAGTGACGTCATGTGAAAACCACATGAGGACCCACGTATATCCGTTTGTTTTTCCGCGTATTACTTTTTTGGGGTGGGCTGTCCTAAAGGGGGTTGGCTAGCCACCTAATCCACCCCCCTGGATCCGCCCCCGAGTTCTGTCAAAGAGGGTTTTTTGGATGGCAGCACAGAATTTTGTCGGCCACAGATTTGGGGAGACAATCTCGCGCATGGACTAGGGGTGAAGGAGTCAAAGACAAAAACGAGAAATACAACAAATCTGAGTTCCACTTTTCCAGGTATAACAGAAACAGGACCAAATTAAAGTAGTACTGTTAGTCAAAATTCTTTAATATTCACTTCGAGTACACTAGCATAATCAGATTCTCAATATAGAAACATGCGAACTTAAATGATACATTAGGAGTAAACGAATAAAAGGATTCATACATTTGCCTAAGTGTACATTTTAATTCATATTTATAAGCACCTTCGAAACTTTTGGGCCCTTCCAATTAAGAAAGATCAGTACATAGTACGTTGAATATCAATTTTTTACAAGAATGCTTTGCATTAGTAGACACGAGAAACTATTTAATAATTGTGTTTATCGAAATTTTGGTCATAGACGGTGTAAACGATTATGCTAAGGTATACATATACTCCACGGTAAAAATGAAATCTCTTCACTGAGCAAAACCGCTATTTCAACCGCTATTTTAATGTTATTTTAATGACTATTCTTTTAATTATTAGAACTGTAGGATGATTCACAAAATTAATAGGATCTTTTTGAAAAAGCTAAGTAAAGCTTGCTAAGATCTCCCGGGACTTTAGAGAATATCTAAATGTTATAAAACAAGATAGAACCAATCACTTGATAGTATCAATAAACGATCAGCTGGGGAAAAAAATTGAAAACTTTCTGATTCTTCCGAGGGTTTCGGTGTCACTGTAACACTCACTGCTCTGAAAGTCCCTCAAACAGTGATTCGCTGGGATTGATGAGTTTCCGAATGATGTGCATAGAGGTCCTAAAACTTACAAGCAATGTGAGAGTAATTGCCGCTGTTCGGATAGCTGTGAGTTTGACGTTTTGTAAGGATCCTTGAGAATTGAGTGTAAAATAAAACAAAGCAACAACATCGCTCTCGATGTAAGCGCAAATCATACAAACACTGATGTAGAAAACGTAGCGCGTGACGACTTTGTGCTTGTTTAAAATGATTAAAAAAAGAAAATTGCATAGTGTGTTTACGGAATTGTAAAGTGCAAGGGGAAAGAGGAGATATGTCATACCCACCGAACCTGATAATGAGCAAAATGGCTCCACAACACCCAACACTAGCAAATAAATGTTCGACGCGAACCAGTCATTTCGGATTAATTTTGAAAATGTTGTGGAAATAGTCCATGTCCATCTCCGTTTATTTCTACAGGCAAGGTGACTGTACAAGAAAAAGCAAAATATCTGAAAAGGTGACCACCAAAAAGGAAGGTAAAAATCGGCTGCATCATCAAATCTAAAAAACGATAGTCCTCCACAATACAAACCTACCGGGTGAGCTGCTAAAACAAGAATCAGATAACCAAAGCCTATCGCTGCTTTGTAACAAACACTGTGGTGTTCTTTGACAGAACCACTTCCTTGAGGACGACATCTGTTATCACGAGAGTCATAACTTATGGCACTGCGTAGGGGGTGTTCTTCAGCAGGTCTTTCTCGGCATGCTAATAACTGTACCGACTCCCCAGTTCTGTGCTCGCCTTCCTCCATTGTTCGAATTTCTCTTTCAGCATCAGGCTCGACTTGGTTTTCCGCTTCCGGCTCTAATGGATTTTCACTTCTTTCATGTCGTCCGGAATACCAACAGAATTTCTTTGTCCGTCTCATCCACTCGAGTGTGATGATTGGCCCCACAAGAAACCAGTAGTAAATTTTTTCAAAGTAAGATTTCATTGCGTCAAGTTCTTTTGAACGCTGTCTATGAACTTGTACGCTGATTTCCACGGTTCTACCAGTGCACCCAGAAATATCGCCGTTTTTGAAAGCTTGAGAAAATGAACCTTTCAAAACCGGGATCAGTAAAGTCTCTTTACTTGGCACTTCTGTTGGGGTTGTACTGATTTTGACAAAGTTTGCGAAATATATTAAAACTGAATACCCTGCCCTCTGAGCTTCTAGCGCCAAGTCTTGCATGGGACAAGCAGTTTCATCTTCATGTAGAAGGATGACGAGAGCGATCTTGTTTGCTGGTATTTTCGCTTTGCTCACATCAATGAGGGCTTGACACGCATCTTTGAGTGTCGAAGTTACTGCCAGTCCGGGAAAACGAAGCTCTCTGCCATCGTCGGTAATTGATGCTTGAATAAAGGACTCCAGAGAGGGTCCTAGCTCAGTCTGGTTCAATTTATACTCATAATACGGAACGCACGACGATATTATCACTTTTGGAGTTGAATAATCAAATGAGTATTGCCAGAAATAAATATAAAGTACCAACATAGGACAGAAAAATAAAAGAAAAAGGCTCGTTGCCAAAAACTTTCCAAGCATGATTTTGATTTTGCCGTTATTGCTGAAATATCTCCTGAAATATCTCGTGATTTGGGGTAGACATCAAACTAACCCTGCGACGCAGACGTAATTTAACCCAAGGAAATATTTTAAGGTTAAATCTCGTTGGTGTAACGCAGGCTAAAATGATAAGATATGTAATTACTAATCATAACTATAACAAAATTCTTAAATCTGATTGGCTATCAACTGCCCTGATTTCAGCCTTAATAGGACAGTTAAATAGGACAGAACACGTCATGCCTATGTAAGTGGACAGTACGCGCCATCACGCGGGCGCTTAAATGGCTTTTCTTTTGTCACTGCTAGCAAAAAAAATCGCGGAATTTCTTGTGTTTTGATTGAAAAAGGAGCCTCATATGTCACAAATTTTGTTAAAGTTATGATTAATTGGTAACAGAACTTCGTGTCGTCCAATTCGGTCTGTAATCATACTCGTGATTAAACAAATCGGACTCCCGCTACGCGGCCGTCCAATTTTGTTAATCACTCGTATGATTACAGACCGAATTGGACTCCACTCAGTCCTGTTACCATTACTTATCATATGACACGTTCCCGCGCGCAATTTCGTTGAAAAACCCTGTGAAAAAAGTTCCGTATGAGGGCGGTAAGCGTCAGGTGATAGGGCCGAAAAAACGCGTACGGCCCTTCTAAGAAAAGCGCGTGCGAAACGAGGCAAATGCTGCCATGAATGAGTTTTCGCTCCGTCAAAGAAAATTCAAAAACACAACTGTCATATGATAAAATGCTTATTGACTGAGCTACAATCCGTGACATTAGAACTTGGATCAATTGAAGGAATAACGTTGACATGTTGTGCTCGACCTCTTTTTCCTTTTCCTCCCAATGTTGGCCTCGAACTTGGACAACTCCACCAAAAAACCATTTCAAAACAACATTGGAAGAGATAAAGACAGGTATCAGAGCAATGTGACCCAAGTTGAGTGTCAGCGATTGTAGGTAGGGCCGGACCGGAAAGTCCCAGTCAGGACGCACATCTGGTGTCGTCCTGACCTCGAGCCAAATATTTTCCCGTCCGGCCCGCCCATGCAGTCAATAAGTACATATGACGTTACTTCTTGATGCACTTTGGCCATGCGCAGTGAGAACAGTTTTTTGTTCCTAGTTGACAGGAGCCCACAGGGATGGCGGTGTTGGGGTGTGGGGGGTAGCGGGAGGGGACTTAATAGCGAGCACCAGATGTGGAACCTTTCGGGGTATCTTGGGGCACTCTCCCTCCCAGAAATTCGAAATCTAAGGGAAAGTGAGCTATAAAGAGGCTCGGAACTGCTATTATCGCCATTCTCCACAAAAAATTTCCTTGAACTTCTGTACCCAGTTCAGGGTAAATCTAAGACACCAAGCCTCTTGTATCACTTGAAGAAGATACAAACGTCTCTCCACTTTAAGCAACAACAATCACTCAAAATTTATTTTACACAAACGCGTAAGTAAAAACCTGTTAACCATTCTCATTGATAATTCTTCATCTATGTTGCAAATAAATTGACCGTTTGAAGACTAAACAAGCCTTAAATCTATAACTGATTAATACACGTTGCCACGGAACTGCAGCCTATTCTAGACTGTTCAAAGTCCCCTACTTTTAGGTCGAGCGCTTCACGTTACGGGCGGCCATCTTGAATGCAACGAGTGTCAAATCACTTAGGGGGGGACGCCCCTTCGGTAAATAAGAAACCAAGATTGCCGCCTGTACTGGCAACTGCTTGATCCTGGTGATCTTACTAAAAAAAGTAGAGGACTGTGAACAATCTAAGCCTATTCTGTTGTTTTGAATAACTTGCTCAGAGGGCTCAGATTATCTTGCACAACCAGGGTATTTTTACCACTTATATTATTACCCTCAGTTAATGTCTTCAGCCAATAAGGCCAAGAAATCTTAGTTTTAATGCACAACCAGCCCCTCCCCTTAATGTTAATACCAACTTCTCACTTAGGGCAACATGTTGGGTCAGGGCAAAAGCCATAATAGGACTTTGTTAGGGGAGGGGTTGGTAAGACGTTTCCCAGAATCTCACACTGTTCCAATTAATAAGTACTTTAAATGACACAAAGTTGCCTAAGGGAGACTACTTGGCCTTTTGACCCTTTAAATCATATTATTATTCATTCAAAGTATTTCCCTGATTCTGATTGGCTATGATGACCAAATTTGGAAGAATTTTGTGTTTAATGAACCGATGACGTCAAAAGTGTAGCTTTCTTGCAGGTTAATGCACCGTTAACAGAGAAGACCTGGAGACGAGGTAAATAATAGCTAAAAACATGGCAAGAACAGCAAGAAGACAATTCGAAGGGCGACATCTGCTATTTGGAGAATATTTGTGGAGCTGAACAACCCTAAACGTGCACTATTGAAGATGAACTTAATATCGATGGAGGTAAGCATGTTTTAGCTAAGTTTAAAGTTTTTAAACTAGGAATCATTTTGAATGAATAATAAAACAATTATTGAATTTGGCTTTCGTATCATATGAAGAATAATGGAGATCTCAGAGGGTGTCATGGCATAGACGGATAACAGAGAGAAATGAAAAGGGACTGATACTCAGGCTAGAAACAACTCCATGCAGTAAAATGGTTAGAACAGGACTTTGGCTGGATTATTGTAAGTTTTCGGGATCCTCCGCTAACCCAACATTTTGCCCTAAGTACAAAATTAGTTTTATTGCTGGGTTAGGGGAGGGGTGAGTAGGTAATTATGTAGAATCTTACACTGGTCCCTTAAGGAATCAGACCATGCACAACTATGATAGTAGACCTTTAACAGAGAGAATTTGAGAATGACCCTACATACAGTTGTCCCCTCTTACAATTTTGTAAGGGTTGACAAACCAATTACACTTAAACCTAAGGAGTTGTACTTTAACCACTACAAAGGGGAAAATATCCATCTCATTCAGAAAAAAGGAAAATCCCACTGAGATTTTCTAGACTGAGTGGGCAAAGATAAAAAGGTTTCCAAAATGTTTTTTTAAAGACTGTATGGATTGTTATTACTCTTGTAGTTCCATACTCAAATGATCTCTACATTACAGACTCTTTTGTTGTTTTTAAGAAGGTGACACATGTGGGTGGCAATTGAAAACTACAGGAGATGAGATGGGGGATTCTTCCTCTGCAGTGACCCTTGACGTGTACAAAAATCCCTTGCAGCTTTGCCTTTTGTTGGCTTTGCCACAAAGAAACACTCATAAACTATGATCCATCTCACTATGCAGGCTAGGTGAGCATCTGAGTGCTATTTCAAAGATCATGCCAACTACTTTGTTGTTGACATGTGTAAAAAAAATAAAAATAAAAATGAATGAAACAATTCAGTGGACAAAAACCAAAGTCATCTGAAAATGTTTGAATTGTCTCTTCCTCTTGCACCATTTACTGGTTCAATGACTACAAATTGAACCATTCAAAACGTGCACACTTTCTTCACCACACGGATGACTTAGCCATTGGCTGTAGAACTAACTTGACCAGTTGAAAGTTCTTTCCACAGTCCACCCAAAAACTTTTTGCATTTCTGAATGTGGGAAGAACTTGAAACAATTGGAAGCAGTTTGGTACAAAATGGACAGGAGACATGTTGAACTTCTCTGATGTGTTCAATAAGCTTTTCTGTAGTCTTGCACTTTTTCCCACATCCTTGACAAACATGTACGGGTAATGTTGGTACTTCCTTCTCTACTGAAGTGCTTGAACTGACCTTTGGGCACGTCTTCTTGTCTGCTTTGAGTGCCGGGCATGTTCTTTGGTGACTTTTTTCGATCTTGGCCATAAAAAACTTACCGCACTTGCACTTAGCATGAACCATATTCAGGTGTTGGGTAAGGTCATTGTTGTCTTTGACCTTTTTGTTACAAACATGGCAACGGATTTTACCAACAGGTATAGCTTTGTTGGTTTGGGCAGTCTCACCATTGGCATGAACTATCTTCATGTGTTGCTTGAGGGCAACCTTGTCTTTAACCTTTTTGTTACAAACATGACAAGGGATTGCCTCAAGTGGAACAGTGATGCTGGTATCACTGTGGCTCGGAGCCACAGTAGTGCCAGCATCTTTCATACGTTTCATGCACTGGTAAATTTTGAGCCCTACCCAAGCATCCAGAGCTGCATAGTGGATCTGTTGAATCCTCAATGGGAATTTTTCCCAGTTGCTCTTGGAGACGGACTTTGGCTTGCTAAGTTGAACTCCAAGGAATCGATCAGCAAGAGCCTTCAGTCCAAACTTGCTAGATCTTGGGACACCCACAGACCTGGCCAATGTCTGCGTATCCTCAAACCCTACACATTTCAATCTAGTGTCTCGCTTTAATTTAGTGACATCCTGCAAGATGCCACTTCCAACTTTGACAACCTTTGTGTCAGTCAAAACAGAATTCAGATAATTGGGCATTGTCTCCATATGGTGTAGATGTAACACCAGGCAGGACTTTTCCACAGCCAGCTGAAGAACAGCAGTCTTGTTCTCCTTTCCTCCCTTCTTCTTACTTATAAACTGTGGCTTCCACTCAATATCAAAACCAACTGCCGAAACATCACAGTCAACTACATTGTTCCTCAACCAGGCATCAGCCTCAACCGAGTCAGCTGTATAAACTACTTCTACACCTTCTGCTGGGTATGGAAGACTGCGAATTACTGTGCGATTTCCAGCAGTGGCTTGGTTGTCTTTCTTACCACTTTGCATTCCTGGGAGACACGTGTCTTCAACAGAATCTTGAGTATTTTGCATCAGTGGTGGATCAAACGGCATGTCTGGCACTACAGGAGATTTTCCTCTTGACTTAATATTTAAAAGATGGCGAAGATCTTCAACATTGTTATTTGGTGGATTATGAAACAATGTTTCATTGGGCATGTCTCTTTCTTCACTCTGCCCTTCAGTGAGGTAGCTACAGTTATAACTACTATTTGTCCCATTATAATATAGAGTTTCATAATGACCATTTCTTTGACCAGTGGCATTGAAGGTAGCCTCGTCATCACGCAGCTGATCGTGATACAACGTTTCATCAGGGGTGAGTCTTCCATGAGTATGAATTGCAAGGCTGTAATGGCCATCATCATCTTCATTGATTGACGAGTTACGATGCAGTAGTTCATAATGCATGTGTGTTCTCTGACCCTGTGTAATTGTAGGGTAAGCAGCTTCATTAATATTTTGTCTATTATGAAACAGCATGTCTTCAGTAATGTACCTTCCATGACCCTGCCTAGTACCAAGGTTGGTAACAATA